CAAAGCATTAACCTACTGCTAAGGAAAAAATGATGCAAGAGCTGAGAGAAATCCCTTAAGACTGCCAAATTAGCCTAGAAACTCTTCTGGCAAGGGACCAAAGATTTCATATTTGAAATTCTATACAAGGGAAGACTAGAAGCATAGCTGGAAGGCAGAGAACACTCCAGCCAACATAATGCAAACATAACAGCTGATAGGAACGTGTGGAGAGAAGCGTTTTCCATCAGCCAGAGCAAGCAGTGATAGAGAGTACAGGGCGAGCATGATGTTCTGCTCAGTTAAAACTGCTTTCAGAAGATAAGAACATGAGGATTACACCAGCTATAAGCTTAAAATCTCACATTAAAGTGTAGAAACTTGCTCCTAGAGGGGGGAAAACAAAAAACTTTCTGACTGTTTTGAATGTCTCACACTTTTGAATGTAATCATACCACCTGCATAATTACAAAAAAAAACCCTATGGAAGTGTCTTCTTGCAGCAAAGTTCTTACCGGTGACAACAGTTTAATACCTACAGGAGTGGTTACAAATGAAAAATACTTTAAAGTTCATATACCTTCAAGGAGTATTAGAGGTTCTAATGAAGCATTTATTTAAGAAGCTAAAATTGACTAGAAGCCATGCAAATATCAGAATTTGGCACCATTATTTATCCATCACCAGTTACAACTTTGGCATAGTCTACAATTTTACACATGGACGCATATAATAAACCCAGCAGATCCTTTTGCACTGCTAACCACAAAAATACAACTTCATGATGCAACTTAAATTCAGGTTTTACTGAGGAGCTTTTTATTTTCATAAAGTTACTAGACATATTTTTCACGAACACAAGAAACACAAATTTCAAGTACAATATATGCCCATATATCTAAAAGTGACCGACTCACCTGGAATTATTATGGTGAATGTTGCAAGCCCTTGCCATTAGCACCACAATCATTGGTCGAAAGGCCTTTCCTTTCCCATCAAAGTAATAATCACACATTTCCTTAAGTTCTGCTGTAGATACAAGTAATTCCTATAAAAAGGAAAAGAACATATCAGCATAAAAGTCACAAAGCCAATCTGGTTAGTGTAAGCAAAACAGTATGCATACATAAAGTTATTGCCTTCATTTCACCCAATGTAAGCTGAAGTTGTTTTTAAAATTACTATGAGCAATCTGAAACATAAATGAAGTATTCCAGCAGTGTAAATCAGGAAGAAAAAAAATTTGCATTCTGGTTCTATAAGATCTGTAGAAATGCTCCCTTTGCCTTCAGTTTAAGTTTCAGACAGCTGTTCATAAACATAAAGAATATTCTTTCACAACTATCCTCCAAAGCAACCGTTGCAATTAAGACTGGAATCATCACAACATCCCAGAATAGTCACCAAAATCCCTTACCTTTTTAATATCTTCATAGAGATTCTTCAAGTCTTTTCTACCAAGTTGAAAAGGGTCTTGGTATTTTTCATCACTAACTGTCTTACTGCAGCTGCACAAGTGGGATGTACTTGTATGATGAAACCTGGTGACAGTGGTTTTCAAGAGAGTAACATTCTTAAAAGCAAACTTTCCCTGATTCCTCAAACAGAAACATTTCAAAGCATTTCCTCCTCCTCCCCCCTCACACAAAATTTAACCAAATGGCTAAAACACAAACAGAAGGCATCAAAACACTCTTTTCAGCCAAGCTAATAAGGTGCAAGGCAGCACAGCTACATACTGATGAGCGTAGACTTTTAGGAGCTGGCAAAGTGCAGGATTTAGCAAACAATAACACACACACGCTGTTCTTAACAGATTACAGAGTCTGAGACTTGTAAAACTGCGCTGCTCTCAATGTATTCCTTCTGAACACACTATTGATAGTATAGTGTACATTTGGAGGTAAAGCCTTCATCTTCCAGTAACATAATTATTCTGTTACTTTCTTCCCTCTCCTATACACTCCTGGAAAAAATATTCCTGACTTGGATTTGAAAACTCTCCTTTGCACACCCAGCTACATTATAAATTATAAATTAAATCGATACTTCCAGGTAGCATGATGATGTTATGAAAGCTCATCTGTAAAGGGTGAAAGCTCCACCTGTATGCATTAAGATGCATTAGGCTTAGGCCTGATTTTTTTTTTTTTTTTTAATGCTCCCTGGAGTTTAAGTTCATGCCTTTTATTATGTTTCCCTTTTAAAGTGAACCATATGGGTTTTCTTGGGGCATTCTTGCTTTGCCCATTGCTCTCCAGGATGGAGGACTTACTTAGATTCAGACTCAGCACCACAACAGCAGTCTACACAGAATTATCCAATTAAGTACTGGAGTGAAAAACCTTATCTCGAAGTTTACAGCTCAGAGGTGTAACTACCCAGTTCACCCGATAACTCTGGTTTTAGCCATTATACAACAATATGAATCTCCAACTTACCGCCAACATATATTACACATTTTTGGAAATGACAAAGTTGAACTTCTTTGGGTAATGTGACACATCTGCACAAAGAAAAACCAGGGTTAATTTAACAGAACTTTAAACTGACAGAAAACTTATGATAATAAAAACCAAGTGTCTGTTCATCAGCATTGTTCTGTTTCCCCATTTTAACAACTGAGCAGCAAAGGGAGTCTCGTAATCTCCTTCCATATCACGTGACACATAACTGCCAATATGTACATTAACTTCCGACTTAAACTGACTCCTCCGCTCAGTTTTTCCACTTGCAGGCCCAGCCCAGAAGACATATCAGTTAACTTCCCTGAACTGCTCTAATGAAACATTGCTTTTGCAATCATGGAAAGTGCAATTCTCAAATGTTTCCTGTCTTGCAGATAAATCTAGAGTGCACCAGTCAAAGCACAGAGAAAAGGACAAGAGCTGTTTCCATAAACTACAACACTAACAGAAGAAAAACATGTCCTTATTTTCCCCTGAAGCAATTTTAATTCAGCTTGCTTATGATAATTTACACCTGCACATCTTTCCTGCTAGGTGGCAAGAACCTAACCTCCAAACCCAGCAATCTCTCCAACGATCTCTCCCTGCAGATGGAGCCCAAGAGCCTGGGGGAAGGCCAAGTCCCAGGTACAAGATTCCAGCAGAGATAGGCTTAGAAAGGAAACACACCTTTTGCTCTGCTCCTGGCATGGTTGGCAAGAACTACCCAGCCCTGCCCTGGAGTGCATGCTGACTCAGGGACCCAGGCGGGCTGACTCAGCCTGAAATCATTACAATCCACACGTTCACCAAACTGCCTCTCCAAAAGCCCACGCAGAAACACTCAAGGAGACCTAGAACTGGAGAATAGTTCCCCCAATTTGCTCCTTATGCCTCAGTGTCTCCTTGTAAGCAATTTGAAATCTCTCTCTCCTTGGATGCAGGGAGAGAAACAAGAGCAAAGCACAGGCTCCAGGGCATCCTTCCATCCTCCTTGTGTACAGGATGAAAAAAGGCCAGGCAAGGAGACAAGGGAAGGAGAGGAAGAAGAGAGAAAGGAGAGGAACCCTAACTTATAGACTTGCAACTCACTGCTGTCTGACCTCAGTGCCCAGACCTACGGCCAAGACCTTCATGAGTTCACTCTCTCACACCTCTCACCATTTTCTGTTGTTAAAAAAATAGCTGATCTCTTCCTTTGGTGAGGGCACAGACAGACTCCTTTACACTGCTGCTTAACACTGTAACACTGGGTCATCACCATTTTCTGTTGTTAAAAAAATAGCTGATCTTTGGTGAGGGCACAGACAGACTCCTTTACACCGCTGCTTAACACTGTAACACTGGGTCACGCACGATGCTGGACACATCACAGTCACAACACCTTACTGCAGGTCAGAACAGTAGCTTGGCCTTGTGAGGAAGGTGTAAGCGAACGCAGTGGGAGAACTGCCCCCCGTTACTGCCCCCCGTTACCACTCCTAATGCTAACACGCTCAAATGCGTTGAAAAACCTCACACTAACGAGAGTCGCTTTCCCTGCTCCCGCCTAGGAAGAGCCCGAGAGGTTCTTCCCCACAGCAGTAACCAATTCTGCCCTTAAAAGCCTTAGGCCAGCATTCACCCTTGCACCGAGAGCGCTCCTGCCCCCTGCAAGGCCCCCCCGGGCAGGGAGCTGCCCGCCCGCCCGCC